AGAGCGAGGAGAGCGCCGCTTCTGAGAGAAGCGTCTCATTCGTTTCTTTGGACGCCGGAACGGCCGCCGTCATGACCAACCCAGCGCTGTCCGTTCGGAACGCGAGGATGCAGAGCGCTCTGATGATGACACAATTCCGACAAAGGCGGCGCACGCACGGCGCGAGCGCGACCGCTGCTGCTCTAGCGCTGGCTGCAGGTGCTGGGGCACAGCGCGGCACCTGGCGTCTGTCACACGACCTCCGCAGCGCTGCCTGCCGCCGGCCCCAGCTATCGGCGGCCTGTCCCGCACGAGCGCAGCCCGCCGACGTGCACGTGACCTAGCCCAGCGCTTACGAGCCCGCCTGTAATGGGACCATCTGGCCGGCGACCCAAGTGGCGAGCGGACGCGGGGTGACGGAGATTATTTGGATTTCCCCTCCATGCAAGATGTGAGGAACAAGGCCAAGCAAGATCCATCCGCCAGAGTTTGTCCCTGCGAACGCTGGATCAACAAACGATACGAGACTGGGGCAAGCCCAGCCCGGCTCTAAAGAAGCCGCCAGAGCCAGAGCCAGAGCCAGAGCCAGAGCCCTTCCCGCCGCTCTATCGTCGAGAGGTGGCAGCCGTAAAACCCACGGCCATAGATACTTCACGGCGCCACAGGGGCGGTGCTAGCGGCAGTAGGTAACGCAGACGAAGGCTCGGAAGAGGTTAAGGCCCACCGCTTGTATGTGCGTGCGTGTGTGGTCACGAGCACTTGGCGGAAATTACACATATGTCCTCCCATCCTTCAACCGTCAAAAATGTCCTAGTGGCAAGTGTTCTGCTCCAGCCCCCCCCCCCCTTCCACAGACTGTGCGCGCCTCTGGCGAAGAGGCCGCCGTTGCCGCCGCTGTGTCGTGCCCAGCCCCTGATTGGGACCAGACCGTGTCCGGGACGAGCGCCCTATGGAGGGGAGGGAGGAGGGGGGGAGGGAGCCGGACCGCCGCGTAATGGTCCGGAGGCGCGCCCCTTCTCAAGTCTCGAGTGACCCCGTCTATGGGCCATGCCAAAACCTTCCGACATTTTCTCGACAAATGACAATCAAACGCTCAAATCTATGTAAGTTTTCAGTGCATTAGCGAGGAACATTATTCGCATAGATAAGACGGTAGTATTAGACGTATTCCTCCGTATAATGAGAGGCTAATACTACTGAAACACCAGGAGAATGGCTCCTTGGAAAAACCAGGAGAATGGAGATGCAGTTTGGTTAATATTTTGGCACATGCCTTTATCGAAACAAAAGCAAAGCTTCTGCTTTTGTTTCGATAAAGGTATGTTGCCGAAATATCAACCAAACTATATCTCCATTGTCCTGGTTTTTCCAAAGAATAAGACTAATACTATCGTCTTATCTAAACGCTCGAGTCTTCCGATCGGTGGCGCAGTTGTGGCAACAGTTGTTTACATGACAATTACCCACGGTTGGACCCTGAGGTGTGGGTGGTTATTGCCATCTGGTCTTCGCATATTCCTTTCAGAAAATTGTTCCACCTGGTGTGCCATATTTTGACACTTCATTGGTGAGCTTGCCAGTGAACTTTTGCTGGGTTTGTCCTATAATTTTCACACTTTACACGGGTTTTTCCAAGAGCAGCTTGCTAGGTAGTGTCAGTGTTAAACTACGAAGTGTGTAACTACAAACAGAAATACGTTAATGTGCTTATATCTTGTAGCCACAGCGTGAACACATAGATTATTGACAAGATAACCAATGTGTTCTTGCTAACTCCATTTAAGTAGTACTTCTCGGCATATGAAGAGATTGTTCCACAATTGTATGAGGTTTTGAACTAAAATAGCCATGTTAAAGATCTTTCGGTGCTGCTCACAAGTATGCCCCGCTTAAGACCCAAACCCGTCTAGTTTCTGAGCTACACGCCCGCAAAATGGGGGAAAGGTATACTCAGGATAGTAGTTCAAAGCCACTTTGACATTCATGACGTCATAATAGCGTCATTCAAATCCTGCCATTCCATAAGCCACGCGGCGATCAAGGCTAATAAATTTTATCGTCGAGGCGTTCACATCTGGCGTTTGTGAGCGCGATTTCCAGGTATAACAGCCGTCTATTGGCTCTCGATCAATGATGTACAAGGTACGATGACGTAATCAAACCATCGTACATTGAGGAGCATAGTTATTAAGTGTAGAATTGCGCTGTCTAGAGAAGTCCTTTCCGCTTAAAAAGAATGCCAATAGCAAGCTTGTTTCATCATATCTGATTCATGCTTCCATATTTTCAAATATGAAACATTCCCTATAATGGTCGATAACTGTCAGCGTTAGAACTCTGAACTCACGTGGCGAGTCAGCCTGGACTTCAGGGCCCTGAAGGCCCTGAGGGCCTTCAAATACATGTTGACGCTGTAATAGTTCTGCAAAATTTGGGCTCAGTGCGGGACCTGTGGAAGCCAAAAACCAAAAAGTGGTGATTGCTCGTGACGTGAGTTTATTTCACAACGTAACTGTCAAACATAAGGCCCCAATAAAGATAGAAAAGGCGTTCGAAGTTGCGTTGGGTTGAAATTGTCTCTCGTCCAAGCTGTCTGCTTGTCTCGACGAACACAAAATTGAAAAAGAAAACCCTTTGCGAGAGCCAGTTCCTTTAACGCACCACCCATGGCCATCCAGTGTCGGGCAAGGGCAATGGCGGTAAACGCAGCTTCAGCTCGCCTGATAAAGCTCCTCTCCGATGTTTTCAGTCCAGCGGGACGAAGCAGCAACATTATTGTCACCGTGGACTGCTGCGACAAGGCCGCCCAGTGCTGGGTCGAGCCTTTCTAACCAGCTGCCGGCGGGGCAGGCGCGCCCAGCGCTGGATTGTACCTCTTCAGCCAGCTGTCGGTGGGGCAGGCGCGCCCAGCGCTGGATTGTACCTCTTCAGCCAGCTGCCAGCGAGGCAGGCGCGCCCAGCGCTGGATCGTACCTCTTCAGCCAGCTGCCGGCGGGGCAGGCGCGCATCGGAGTTTTGATCCTGCCCTAACCGAATAAAAAACGACATCCGTGCGGCTGGGCGTTCTAAACTGCCGGCTATTCCAGTCCGCAGCTAGAGTTCCGCAAGTGTATGGTGGGCAAGAAAATAATTATTTAGAAAAGCGCCCGCACCATATGCCAGTTTGCCTGCTCTTGAAACCAGATGCTATGAGGGTTTAAAGAGGCACCACCGAGATTCGAACTCGGGATCTCCTGTTTACTAGACAGGCGCTTTAACCAACTAAGCCATGGCGCCAACGATTCTATTAAAAAAGCCTTTGAGATCAATGCATGTTTGACATATAACTTACGAGACTACATGACTTTGTGCCCTGCACCAAGGTCGATCACTTTTGTCCTGTTGCAGGCAAGTCTCTAAAAAAGTCTCTAAAGCAGGTACTTAGTCCCTGTTCTCCTCTGCTCAGCTTTCTTTGTCATTTTTTCATTTTATCCGCCTAGAAGCCAGTGATTCATGGCCTTCGCGTAGGGCTTAGCGATCACCTTCAACTCAAAGAACACAATAACAGGCAACAAACATCACAAACGTGAGTTCTTCGGTCTCCGGTTCGGTACCAGCGATAGTCATTTTGACCCGAGATTGCTGAAGGATGAGTGACGAAGTTTTACGCATTAAGAGATCTGCTCACATCACCCATCTCGGCTTTTTGTGCGAATACGTCTGCATCATGGTTCCAGCACCAGCCTTCGAAGCAGTCGCAGGCCTGGACAATGTTACCCCCCGTGAGACTTGAAGCCATGTCCTGTGAACCTCCCACGCAGCCGTGCGCCGACACCGCGGCAATCCTGCCGGTCAGCATCAGCACAGCGGGGCACTGGTGCCGCCTGGATGACCTCCCCGGAGCACCTCTCCGCTGAAGAGCCTCGGCGCTGTGAAGCAGCTAATCTGCCCTCACTGAGCCGGGGTTCCGACATCTGAATTAGCTCGTGAGAGACGGCCCCCTCCACGCCTCTTCACATTCCCAAGATGTGCTGTCCCTGAACACGAGCGGATAACCTGGAACGCCTATCTCTCGAAAATGGACCGCTCTTGTCCACATCACGACACTTTGTATGAGGACGCCGGCAGGGGGACTGCAGAACGGAGCCACAGACGTGTAACGCTGCCACTTCCGCCACCTGATGTTGCGTGGGAGGGATTGCAGGGGAGGGATTGCAAGAAGGCATTGGAGGAATGGGGATTGGGATGTATGCGAGGAGTTGTTGTACGTGAGCGCCCGAGCATCCGGCCGACAGCGTCAATATACCACGGGATTGGGCTAAGTGCTGTCCTATCTCTCGAGTGATCGACAAGAGGTTTCATTGATAATCGATCGCGGCATTCTCTGTGGTCTCGAAGGCCTCTGCAATGACATTTTTGCACCGATAGCGACAGAGTAGGGTCTCACCCGAGGCCTGTGAGCATCACGCACCGCGGAAGTGCATTGAAGGTGCACAAACATGCCGACAAACGCCCACCGTGACGTGGGGAAAGCTGGAAGCACTTGGCGGAGGTGGGACATTTACTGATCGTCAAATGGTGTTCAAAGTTTATGCAATTTTTGTTGTATCGTCACCTAGCCATCGGCTTTTGCTCGCTGCATGGCTGTAAGCAAACCTCATACCTCATATACAAGTCGACGATGACCTCATGCAGCAGTCCCATGCCAGCTCACACAAGTGGGTGATGCATCGGACGGCTATCAGCGGCATTTTGCGCCTCCCGTACTTCAGTGACGCACCATCGCCCGTATCAGGCACTGCACTAAGACAGTCATTCGTCTCCTTTGTTCACGGACGAGAAGGGTCCATTCAGGCACTGTGTGCACAGGATCGGAGCTGGGTGCTGTTGTCAGTTGACTTCTGGGCATGCAAGCTTTATTGCAAGTATCATAAGATACGGAGCATGCTGACAGAAACGTTTCTGTTTGGAACAAAGCGCTTCTTGGTGCGATTTTTCGTGAAACCAGACAAGATGGGGGCTTCAGATTCGATGTGCTAAAGAGGCACCACCGAGATTCGAACTCGGGATCTCCTGTTTACTAGACAGGCGCTTTAAACCAACTAAGCCATGGCGCCGATACCATGCTCTTCGAAGGCTAAAACTTCCTCCAGATTTGATATATTACCTACGAGTCTATGCAGCGTTGCACCCTGCATCAGGGCTGAGCACTTCCGCCCTGGTACGGGCAGCGGCGGACCCGTGCTTTTCAGGTGGACCGGGCTGATTTTACAGACGATTCTTTCTTTAAGCGACCATGTGCTTCGTGCCGAACATGTGCGAGGAACGGTGAGCCATAGGTCAGTCCCTTCCATACATCACATGTGGCCCGAGCTGGGCGAGCCTTTGACTGAGATCGGCTCACAGTCTCGCGCAAGGTCCGTCCCCTTCCACACAATACACGCGGCCCGAGCTGGGCGGGCCTTTGACTGAGATCGGTTCGCCAGTCTCGCACACGGCCAGCGTTACAGGATATCATGCTGGCAGTTATAAGCAGCCTTCTTCGCGTGCCACGTCCTAAGCGGAATGTTAGAATACTCGGCCCGTGTTATTAGACCCATTATTATTATTTTTATTTATTATTATCATTTTTAGACCTATTGCGGTGCCCCCCCCCCCCCCCCCCCCAATCTTGTGGTCGACAGTCAGTGTCTTAGTTCCCTATTTGTTGAGCCTTCCATGATACCATGTGGGTCCCAGTGTTTCTACGGCCGTGAAACACGCACGCAGCGCGAGTCGAGGGCTTTGATGGGTTTACTCAGACACAAATGCGCAGGATCCAACAGTAAGAAACCTCTTGGGCCCATCCATGAGATGTGACATGGCTTTCTGAGAGCTTAGAGCCTGAGAATGGAGCGAACAATCAAAGAACTGAGAGTTCATAAAACGCGTTTGGATGTTATTGCTCCAGGAAGAAGGGTATCGTTTGACATCTCAAAGCTTGCTAACAACGCCTTTCCATGCAAAAATAAAAAAAATCTAACATAAAAGTTCCTCCCGGCTGCTGCCTCCGGCCCCACAGGCGACCCACCTCCACAGTTTGCCGAGCGTCTTGCTGAGTTCAGCGTTGTGCAGCTGCGGGTACTGGTCTGCCAGCTTCTTCCTGGCCGCCTGCGCCCATACCATGAAGGCGTTCATGGGACGCTTCACGTGCGACCGGCCCCCGCCCCGACGCTCTGCGGAAGGGGCGGACGCTGAGACGCGGCACGCATCACCACTTCACAAACAGGCAGGTCACGAGTACCGCCTCTTCACAAACACAGGCAGATCACGGACACCGCCACTTCACAGACGCAGGCAGATCACGGACACCGCCACTTCACAGACACAGGCAGATCACGGACACCGCCACTTCACAAACACAGGCAGATCACGGACACCGCCACTTCACAAACACAGGCAGGTCACGGACACCGCCACTTCACAGACACAGGCAGCTCACGGGCACCGCCACTTCACAGACACAGGCAGGTCACGGACACCGCCACTTCACAGACACAGGCAGGTCACGGACACCGCCACTTCACAAACACAGGCAGGTCACGGACACCGCCACTTCACAGACACAGGTAGGTCACGGACACCGCCACTTCACAGACACAGGCAGCTCACGGGCACCGCCACTTCACAAACACAGGCAGGTCACGGACACCGCCACTTCACAGACACAGGCAGGTCACGGACACCGCCACTTCACACACACAGGCAGGTCACGGACACCGCCACTTCACAGACACAGGCAGGTCACGGACACCGCCACTTCACAGACACAGGCACATCACGGGCACCGCCACTTCACAGACACAGGCAGCTCACGGACACCGCCACTTCACAGACACAGGCAGCTCACGGGCACCGCCACTTCACAAACACAGGCAGCTCACGGGCACCGCCACTTCACAAACACAGGTAGGTCACGGACACCGCCACTTCACAGACACAGGCAGCTCACGGGCACCGCCACTTCACAAACACAGGCAGCTCACGGGCACCGCCACTTCACAAACACAGGCAGCTCACGGGCACCGCCACTTCGCAAACACAGGCAGCTCACGGGCACCGCCACTTCACAAACACAGGCAGGTCACGGACACCGCCACTTCACAAACACAGGCAGCTCACGGGCACCGCCACTTCACAAACACAGGCAGGTCACGGATGCCGCCACTTCGCAAACACAGGCAGCTCACGGGCACCGCCACTTCACAAACACAGGCAGGTCACGGACACCGCCACTTCGCAACACAGGCAGCTCACGGGCACCGCCGCTTCACAAACACAGGCAGGTCACGGACACCGCCACTTCGCAAACACAGGCAGCTCACGGGCACCGCCACTTCACAAACACAGGCAGGTCACGGACACCGCCACTTCGCAAAACACAGGCAGCTCACGGGCACCGCCACTTCACAAACACAGGCAGGTCACGGACACCGCCACTTCACAAGCGCAGGCAGCGCGCGGGCGCCACCACTTCACAAACACCGACAGCTTACGAACGTTTAAGTTTACGAGCAACGTTAATTGAAGATTAAGTCATTCAAAACCATCACTAAAGCAGAGACTTTGTCGTTGGCGCGCGCCACCAATTTGCAGATACTGTCACTACGCAGACATTCTGTGTTTACAAAACGCTTCTGCGTCACAAGCAAGCCGCCTTACAAAAATCGTCCGTTCTCAGGCATCGATAGTTTGCAAGCACCACCACTCCACAAGCATCGTCAAGTCACAACCACCATCTCTTCACAAGTATCGTCACGGTAAGAATACAGTTAGTTCACAGGCTAAAAGCGCCGTCAATTTACAACTACTGTCGGATCACAACCAAGCCACCTCTCAGTTTGCAAACACAAGGTGTTTCACATCACCAGGCGGTCACCAAAGCGTACCACACCTTGCCCTTATGAGCGTGAGAAGGAGCCGAGCTCTTTACGTGCTTACAACCATCTGATCACGCTCAGTTTCCACAAAATTTGCAACTCTTTTGGTACACTGTGCATGCATTATTTTTGTTGTTGATAGTGTTCACATTTCAAATACATTTCTTTCCAGTGGATCTCAACAAACCTTGGTGTACGCACCCACTAAAAGACTAAAAGCAATATGCTTGCAAAAGCACGGTAGTCATTTTCTAACTACTTCTCAAGCAACTGAGCAGAAACTGCGCAGTCTAGCCATCTGTGTCCTACAACCATAGGTGCCTCGTAAAGCTCGGTCTTAAAAATGGCAGCTATGACGCAACCTGCGCTAGGAATGTGCGGAACTAGAGGTCACCGCACCCAAGTCTAAAATGTACACCAGGCTCATCCAATGCACAGATAAAGCAGTCATTTGGTTAAATTTCAAGCGTGAAATTCTGGGAAAAGCTGCGAGCCGCACCACGTTGGATCAAGTATGGCCGACACCGCTGGTGCATCGGCTGCAGGCAAGCACAGAACACGTGGTTTGCTGATTTATCGCAACGCGCACCGTTGCTGTCCACATGGGAGAAACGCCATGTGCCGAGGCCTTTGCGTTGAAGGGCACTGCGCATTGACAAAGATCAGACTGGATTCGATTGAAGTAAACATTATTCTGAAATCAGGTACTACAGCCTGCCTCAAAGATTGGTATCTGCCAGAGTATTCAACGTTTTTGCACGTAGTTTTAATGCCATTTAAATTATCTCAAGATGCTTCACTGGAGGGCTTTTATGCAGAAAACAAACTGCGCAGAAGATGCAAAGGCAACAGTGTCTGAAACATTCCCTGTTACTAACAGCTATTCGGTGCGGAAATAAACCAAGAATGAATTTTGACAGGCTATAGCAAAATCAAGGAGGTATGCGCAGGGTTCATCACGGCTCCACTAGATTATCAGCAATTACAGCCTTTTGTCCTCGTGTTGATGCGGTTGGCCGTGCCCCGCGCGCGCTGACTACCATTATCGCCGATGACGGCACGGGTGATGCGACCGGAGCTACAGATACACAATCACGCGGCTGATTCAGCGCCGCTGTCACCCGGACGTGACATTCCCGGGGTCTATCGGACATGTGTCATGCAACACGGGCCGCTGTTGCTATAATACGGCTGCTACGAACTTACGAGTTATACACGATCTAGTCTAAGTTTCGGTCCTTTCTGTTCATGATTACAAGACATCGGATGAGCTTCAGCAATTTTGTTGGAAGTGGAGCAGCCACACACATGCGTGGAGTGGGGTTACTAGATGTCGGCGCATCTGCATCTCAAACATCAAAAGTGGGGAATGGTGTGTATGGTGAGTATGGCGTTGCGTGACAAGAGTTGGCCGAAAATAACAGCTGCATCCTGAATACGTCCGCAAAGTTTGCTCTTGATTATATAGACATTGCATGTTGAAAGAGAATCATTTGGATCAATTTCGGAGCATGCAAGGGCTTGCGGCTCACACGTTCGCAGAGCACCAGCTAAGGATAGCCGCCGTGCTATGGCTTCACATGGCTCACCACTCACGATGGCACCAGAAACCACTCACGATGACACCAGAAACACTCCTGATGACACCTGACACCACTCCCGATGACACCTGACACCACTCCCGATGACACCTGACACCACTCCCGATGGCACCTGACACCACTCCCAATGACACCTGACACCACTCCCAATGACACCTGACACCACTCCCGATGACACCAGACATTCCTCCCGCTGACACCACACCATTGGTCAAGCAGAGAGGCAGGGAATACGTCAGGTCGGTGTTGTTGGGGATTATAATGTTGATTATGGGTCAGAATCCCTCGCTGGTTCGCGAATTGAGAAGGGTATTGGGTAATGATAATGATATTGGGTAATTTGGACGGGCGGACATTGGGGAAGGGACATGACATCATGGCTACTGTGTGCAAATTTTCCATTGCGGAACGATTAGGGTGCGATTTGTTACCAAATACCCGGGCGTTGAAACTTTCTCGACTTGTGAATAGTTGGATCTTCCCAAAGATATCGCATATTTAACACGAAAACTAGCTAAGTCTATGCATAGTTACACTTGAGAGCCAAACTCTATTGACAGCATAAGATAACCTCCGCAGCAGTTAGAAATCAGCTAAACTGACACCATTTGGAAACCTCAGTGTAAACACAATGCCGCACGATTCTCGGCAGACCACGGTACGTGATCTCTGCTTTGAGACGCGGCGCACGTTAGCCAGCAACTTAGACACATGTTTGTTATCATGGTAATCACTTAATCAAGAGACAAGACGGCGGTACTCAACTGTGTGAAAAGCCCCTGACCTCAGATTTAAGAGCCGCCCCCCCGCCCGTCCCCCCCAGCCAGCACAGTTTCCTGTAACGCCCCATGTCATCAAGAGCACCTGCATGTCGTGCAACACGAACTGACATGAAATCTTGCTGCGCCTCATCCGAGCACGCCACACCACCAGCCAGCGGAGCAACCCAGCGCCGCGGGATGGCGGTGCTGCGCCTCATCCGAGCACCCCACACCACCAGCCAGCGGAGCAACCCAGCGCCGCGGGACGGCGGCGTCCACGGCCGCCGGCCAGCGCCGGGCCCGCCCGCGGCGCCGCCCACCGCAGTCACCCCCTTCCGGCAGTCGTTTGACTCCGGCGGCCGACGGGGCGCGACCGCCGCCAGTTTACACCTGCAGCGGGCGTAAACGCGCGCCGTTTTATGCGGCCGCCATTACTCAGGCGTCCGAGTGTTTGCGGCCGGATGACAGACGGCCGCCCGTCGGCTGCCGTCCGCCACTCCCCCGGTGGGCCGGAGGGGGAGGGGCCGCTGGGGGCACCTGCAGAGGGCGCCAGCGCCGCAGCCGACTGATGTCATCATCCGGGTCACGTGCGGCTCACGTCACGTGACCAGGTGCGAGCGTCCTGGAAAACGCTGCATGGACTGCTGGCACGCCTGTGCGAATCGGCGCACGCTTGATATATGTCACGTGTCTGGCTGCTTTGGAGCCAGGCCCCAGCGCTCAGTAACATGGTATTCGTGGCAACACCATGCGATCATTCGGACCGACTTTAGTGCCAAACTGTGGCGTCACTCATAGTCATCCACCAATCAGATCGGACCAGACCAAACTGTGACCTCAATCATAGTCATCCACGGATCACATCGGACCAGACCAAATCACATTGAACCGGTCCGGACCGGTCCGGATCGGA